TCACCAGGGTCCCCACGGAGCCCAACGCCTTCGACACCCCCTGGGTGGTGCGCCTCTTCGCCCTTGACTTCGCCGCCATGCGCGTGCCCGGTCACCCGCGCTTCCAGCAGGCGTGGGAGTTCTCCCACCCGGTCTCCGAGGCCACGCTCAAGCAGATCGAGACGAGACGCGCCGGCGGCGTCATGGGCGGCGGAGGCGGTAGCATGGCGGGTGCTGTTGGCGCCAACGACCACAACTCGCGCTTCTGCCATCTCACGTTCGTATGTCCCACGAGGGGTGTCATCCACGGTTTGGCCGGGTACTTTGAGTCTGTCCTCTACGCGCCCCAGACCGGCGACAGAGAAAAGGTGGAAATCAGCACGCATCCCGAGCTGATTGACCGCAAAAGCAAGGACATGATCTCGTGGTTCCCCATCTTCTTCCCCATCAAGGTAAGCAAAAGACACAATTTCCCTCATGTAATTTGGTCAAATTTCACTGACATTCACAGCAACCGATCTACTATCCTGCCGACACTGAATTGGAGATCACGATGTGGCGCCAGACGGATGATTCGCGGGTGTGGTACGAGTGGCTCATCGAGGCGTACACGTGGGTGAGCGAGACACAGCGCATCAAGGTAGCGTCGTCGGATCTCTGCAGTAGTCGCAAGGTTGCTTGTCTTATGTAAGTATTTGCGGAAAAAAAAGTGGTGGTACCAAAAGGGGGCACTGGAGGCGCCGACAATGGTGTACGCCCCTTTTCTTCTTCTTCTATAGTTGCTGTGAAAGGGGTAGAGAGATGGTTCTTTCTTGCGCAGCGCGACCTGGCGGTATTCAACCTGACTTGGGGGGGACACTGCAAACTCCGTTCCATCGCCGGCCTTTTTGTGGATTCGTTTTGATTGCTCCAAGCTCATCGTGAAAATCAATATCCCTTTCCGCCCGCCCTTTTTCTGAGTCAAGACCAAAGTACGTGAGGGCGTTTTCCCAGGTTATGTCGATGTTTGTTCCGCTCGTGGTCTTTCCGCTCGTTGTGGGAGGGATGCTCTTCCCGCTCAACCGTCCATCTTGACGTCGCCGTTCTCGCCTTGTTTCGCGCCGCGGATCCAGAGAACGTTGTTACACCTGTCAGTGCGTTCAGTCAGTCAACACAACTTCGTCTCGAGGGGGTTATCGTATGTGACATGGGAAGAGAGGGGAAGTGGTTCGTGTGCTGTCGAATGATGGTCGCGTACCGAATCAAAACCTGGCCCAAAGCTCCCGTCATCTTCTGGTCAATGTACTCCTCGGCGCCGCTGAGCTGGACGTTCATGTAGCTGTCGATGCTGACCAACTTTCCCTTGTATTCGGTCTCGCCCCACTTGAGTCTGATGACGACGTCCTGGTTGACACTGCGCAGGTATGAAATGTTAGCACGCTGGACAAGCTTTGTCTATCGAGGAAAGAGGATGCCTGGCGATCGTGAAGGGCGTTGGCATTGGAGAGGCGCGTTTCGCAGACGTACAGGTCTTGCAGCATAGGCCGCGGGTTAATGGGCACGAACTGCGAGGCAGAAAAAGTTTGTTAGCTTATTGCATCCTATAGAATGTCGAAATTGAAGGGGAAAGGGGGGTTGCATACGCTCATGGTGGGCGATTCGAGGGTGAGATACAGCCCATGTAATGTGTAGATGGGGGGAAGTTTGCGCGAGAGTCGAGGCTGCGATGCGTGAGGCTCGTCCTTCTCTCAATTGGGGCCAATTTTTAGGCGGGCACAGTGCACCTGAGGTTGCTACAGTGGTGTGAGGCTGTCGGAAAATCATCGGGTCCACTGTAAGGGACCGCCTGGCGATCAAGCCAAAAAATCCGGGGGATTTTGGAGCACTGGCCTCATTTTGTTTCTCCTGTCGCAAGCTGTTTATTGACCAGAGTCTGATGGTCTCATTCGAGTCTTCGTGGCACATATCGAACCTAACACATCGGGCCATCTGAGATCAACCTTTGATCCTCACATGATCGAACGAACACCGTGTGAACGCTTACCTTTAGGCGTATGCTCTGGGTTTATGTGGCGATATCCTACCTCATAGCTTGACTGACGTCTGCTGCATCTGTATGTGGACATCAAATCAAAGCTAAGAATGATGATAGATCACGAGGTAAGTTGAGGTTTCGGATAAGGGTCGGCAAGATGAGATTTATCAGGGTGTATTCGAGACCTGAGCAATCGACGCCTTGGAACCATAATGCTCTCACTAAATGGTATCTTGTGAGAAATTTTCGTTGGCGCGTGGAAGCTTCTTCTTTCCATGGGCAGCTAAATTCATCGATGTTGAGTACATCTATCTTACCTGCGTAATGTGATCTGTGCCTTCGCCTGAGATGCATAAAGCAAATTGGCTTGATGAACTGAAATCGCGATGAAGGTTGTGAAAAGAAGGATGCTACAGTGTATATGTCTCGAAAAGAAAAACACCACCCTGGTCAGATGAGAAAATCTCAATCAAATCGCTGCGGGAAACTTGGTTGGTGAATGCTTTGAAGCTCATGAACTCCAATCCAGCATCGTCTCGTGTCCTGATGCTGCTATGAAAATTTCGCGGGTACAGCCGAACCTCAGTCAACCTCCGCCTTACAACAACCACACCCCCAGTGACCACACAAAATGGCCACACAAACATTTGAGACCAACGGCGTCCGAATCGCCGTTGAGGGATGCGTAAGCCTTTGCAATGAACACATCTTACACGCAAATGTTCTCCCACTGACAAATCCTGACAGGGCCACGGCACCCTCAACGCCATCTACGCTGCCGTCGAGGCCTCCTGCACGGCCCGTGGCTGGGACGGCGTTGATCTCCTCATCATCGGCGGCGACTTCCAAGCCGCCCGCAATGCCGCCGACCTGACGGTCATGTCCGTCCCCGCAAAGTACCGCGAGCTCGGCGATTTCTGGGAGTACTACGCCGGCCATCGCACCGCGCCGTACCTGACCGTCTTCGCGGGCGGCAACCACGAGGCCGCCAGCCACATGTGGGAGCTCTTCTACGGCGGCTGGGCCGCGCCCAACATCTACTACCTCGGCGCCGCCAACGTCCTGCGCCTGGGCCCGCTGCGCATCGCGGGCATGAGCGGCATCTGGAAGGGCTTCGACTATCGCAAGGGCCACCACGAGAGGCTGCCCATGGGCCCGGACGAGATCAAGAGCTTCTATCACGTCAGGGAGGTGGACGTGAGAAAGTTGCTACTGTTGAGGGAGCAGGTTGACGTCGGTATCAGCCACGACTGGCCACGGGCGATCGAGAGGTGGGGTGACGAGAAGGCGCTGTGGAGGATGAAGCCGGATTTCGAGAGGGAGTCCATGGATGGCACACTGGGCAACGTTGCAGCGGAGTATGTCTGCGATCGGCTCAGGCCACCGTATTGGTTCTCCGCGCATTTGCACTGTAAGTTTGCGGCGTTGAAGATTTACAAGGATGAGGAGGCGACTACGAAGGAGGCAGCAGAGGGGGCTACGGCCTCAGCTACGGCCCCGGCTGCGACACACGAGCCGGTTCAAGCACCGGATAATCCAGACGAGATCGACCTGGACGGAGACGAAGAGATCACGGACGCACCCGCCGTTTCGGCATCAGCACAAACAAATCCCAACGAAATCGATCTCGACGACGATGACGATGACGAGCAGCCTACCGCACCTACACAAACACAGCCCAGCAAAGAAGTAACAGAAAAAGCTCCCAACACCAAAACCTCCGTCCCCGAAGACATCCGCGCCCAACTCCCCGCCTCCTTCGCCAAGCCCAAGCCCCAGCCGAAAAAGACACCGGGCCAGCCCGTCCCGCCAACAATCACGAACAAGCAGGTCAACTTCCTCGCCCTCGACAAGTGTCTCCCGCGCCGCCACTTCCTTCAGCTCCTTGAAGCCCGCCCCCACGACATCCTGTCCGCCGACCAACCGGCCCCGACGCGGCCCTTCCGCCTGCAGTACGACCCGGAATGGCTCGCCATCACGCGCGTCTTCCACCCCACGCTCGTCATCGGCGACGAAGCGGCCCACCACCAGCCGAGCCCAGACCTGGGCGAGGAACACTACGCGCCGCTCATCGACGCCGAGCGCCGCTGGGTTGAGGAGAACATCGTTCAGAAGGACAAGCTTGACGTCCCGCTCAACTTTGAGATCACGGCGCCGCCGCATGTAGAGGGCGAGCCCGAGTCTGTGCCGCACCAGCCGTTTGAGTATACCAACCCGCAGACGTCGGCCTACTGCGCGCTCTTGGAGGTTGGGAACCTGTGGGATGCTAGCGAGGAGGAGAGGATGGAGAGGAAGGCGAGGGGTCCGCCGGCTGCGGAGTTCAGGGGACACCGTGGCGGTGGTGGTCGGGGCTTTCATAGAGGTGGTGGTGGTGGGCGCGGCGGTGGACGTGGTGGTAGGGGCCGGGGTAGGGGCCGTGGCAGAGGCAGAGGTTGGAACTGAGTTTTGTTGAAAGTGGATGCAAACATTTCATGGCGAATTCTATGGTCAAAAAGGTCACAGTTGCGAACTTTTGCCTAGAGCTGTCTCAAGGTTGCAAGATATCTCTGAGAACAATCCAACAGAAGGCTTCACACCATATGAGGAGCATTCATCCAAGATTAAAGAATTTGGTTTATTCAGCTATAAGTGTGAATTTGTGTGTTTACTATAGTTGATCTGTATCCCAACAGAAAAAGCGTAGATCTCAATGGTAGAAAGTTGAGTCGAGCAGAGTGAGTGGAATATAGTTCTTCTTCCATCTTTAATAGACGTTCAACCCACGGAAGAGTGAGGGGAGGAACGCATATGCTAAGATGGGGGTTGGTTTTTTCACATGTGGGGTGACAGCGTGGGTCACCATCGAGAGATCATGGCAAAGAACAGAACACATGCCTTTCTTGGCATGGGATTTCGTCATAGTGTCATAGCAATGGTATCGTGTCTGGTAGTACCACCCTGAACGCTCAACGCCCCAAACTCCGTCATGAACAATGAAGCCAAAATGCAAATGGTCATTAAGCGTCATTCAGACAGTGCCGGTATTTTTCTCTGTGAGAAACGCGTCAGAACGGCTGGGTGGTTCCCGTGAGACAGATGCCGTCGCTCTGGGATCAGAGGAGGTTGGGGATGTCTTACTGTCCAGACCCAGGAAGTCGGCTGCGACCAGCAGTTCCAGGCACAGCTCGACAGGAATGTCCATGTCAGGAACGTCCTCCCGCTCGCGGTAGCGGTACCAGTATTGGAAATACTCGCAGACTTTCTCAAGCACAACGCCACTGCCGAGAGAGAAGACGGTCAGACGTTTCCAGAACTTTTTGAACAAAAGAGAAACGAAAAGGAATGAGGATTAGCCTTGTGAAGTGGCTGGGAAACAAGTAGTGTGAGGAAAAAGAAAGAATGTTGCTTGTTTCAGATCAAGTGTAGTTGGGCAATCAAGCAGACCAGCCGTTAGAGCGGTGGTCTGTCAGTGAAACTCATCGATAAAATCGGAGTTCATCATGGCAACAGCCGTAGAGAACGAAAGGTGGCAGTGAGAGCGCTGGGTTGTGCTGGCTTACCTGATCTCTTCAAACACGCAGCGACCCAGAGCAGCCTCACGGAAGTTGTTGCGCGTGTCCAACATGCCTTTGATGGCAGGGCTGATCATGGCGGCGTCCCGCAAGACGACGAACTCGTAGCCATCACTCGAGACCAGAGTCACGTACTTGCTGTCGGTTGTGCCGTTGGGATCCATGATTGCGGACGTGTGAGATATGCTGCGTGTTCCGTCTTCTGAGGGCTGAGCAGATAGACAGACTGCTGCAAGTTGGAATGGTGGCTTCCGTGTGTCGGAGTCTCCGTGTCTCTGATTGTTTCGCAAGTCACAGCGGTGATGCTCGTGGCGAAATATGAGCCTTCGATGAAGGTCGACGACGCGTTCGTTGAAGACGGAAGTGAAAGACTGAAAAATTCACGTCGCGATTTTGAGGGAGGCGGTGGTGGGGTTGGAGCTTGGGCCACCTCTCTCTCGTCCCGTAGTCCTGCCGGTGAAGGAAAGAGCACCGGAAAAACTCTGACGGGAGCTGTCCGCTTTCAGACTGCAGGGGGGACCTTCCTTGGCCAGGCCACAGCCAGGGGTTCGATTGATCCGCCTTAGCGCACTTTCGTCAGCTCCACTTTTGCGTTGTCGTTGTGGCTCCTCTGGCGCCTGCCGTCATCACCCCGGCAAGAAGTGGCTGGTTGCCCCGTCGACTTGTTTACAATTGCCCTCCTTGCTCCCGCTCCTTCTCCTCAAGAACACAGCACAACCCGCCCATCCACCTCGCACACAAACCCACCCCCATACAATACACCATCCCAAGCCAGACCAAGCACCTTTCCAACATTCCTCAACTTCAAAACGCCGCAACGTGCCAACGTCTCTTCCCCGTATTGCATGCCTCGCACTTAACCATATCTCAACGGCATTCGACTGAACACGGCAAGTAGCTGAACACGAAGCGAGGAGGCTCGTTTGAGGAGAAGCGGCGATATCAGTATCGGCAGTATTCCTCCATCGCAACAAGAAACAAGCAGCATACACACACAACCCGGGAAACATCGCATAAAAGCACAAACCACTCAAGTCTCCCCAACAACCCCCCCCTTCCACCCCCAGACGAGCGCACGCACCGGCCCCCGGTATCTATCTTACCCATCATCACATCAACCCATCTCGCAAACACGCACGAGGGGCCACGCTGCGAATCGACCTCCCTCGTCATCGCATCACAGCACCTCAAACACAGCTCGAGCCTGCCGCATTATGGCGTCCTCATACCAATACCGCAACTCATACCACAACTCGTCTCAGAACATTAGCGAAAAGTACGACGACGGCCGCCCGGCCACTTCCCGCCGCAACACGCGCCTTAGGAGTAGCGACGGCACCGTCAGCACCACAATGAGCTCTTCAACAGGCCGCGAGAGCGCCGCAACCCACGTCACCGAAGGTCCTGCCTATTCCAAGAAGATTGTCGTCGTCGGCGACGGCGGCTGCGGCAAGACATGTCTCCTCATCAGTTACAGCCAAGGCTACTTTCCAGAGGTAAGCATCCAAGCAGAAAAAAAAAACCAACTCCTTTCGAGCGCAACATTTTCGTCATTTGCGTGTTGCTGGGGAGCGAAATGAGCCAAAACAATGCTGACTCTGGCGACAACAGAAATACGTCCCCACTGTGTTCGAGAACTACATCACCTACCCAACGCACCCACCGTCTGGCAAGACGGTGGAATTGGCGCTATGGGACACGGCCGGCCAGGAGGAATACGACCGACTGCGACCGCTCTCTTACCCCGAGACCGACTTGATCTTTGTGTGTTTTGCGATTGACTGCCCAAACTCGCTTGAGAACGTCATGGACAAGGTAATTTGACCACCGCCCCTCAGATAACATGCCCCTCCTTTTTTGGGGCAACGCCATTTGACACTAATGCTAATTTCTTCTCCTACCAGTGGTATCCCGAAGTCCTCCACTTCTGCCCCTACACTCCTCTGGTCCTCGTGGGCCTCAAGTCCGATCTCCGCTTCAAGAAAACGTGCATCGACATGCTCAAGACACAGGGCCTCACGCCCGTGACCCAGGAGCAAGGTCGCGCTGTTGCTCGCAAGATGGGCGCCCAGTACGTAGAGTGCAGCAGCAAAGAGATGACTGGCGTGGACGAGATCTTTGAACAGGCCATCCTGACGGTCGTCGCCAATGATCGGAAAAATCAGGAAGCCCAAGCTGCCGCCTCCCCGTCAACACCCAGTGGCCCGCCTGGAAGCAGCGCAGGTTTCCCTGGCGTAGCTCTTAAGAAGAAGAAGAAGAGGAATTGCAAGATCCTGTGAGATTCCCACCGAGGACCTCAGGGTTGTAAGGAAGAGGCATTGGACACCGGCGGAGGGCGTAATGAATGACTTTTTGTTTTATCTGCATGATCTCGTCACGACCTGCTACTATTACGATCTGGAGAAAGCATGCGCCACCATTAGCGAAGGGGGGCGTCTCCTGCTCTAGGGCTGGATGAACTCTAGACCGGAGACGAAGTTTTCCCTCCACCAGGGATGTTGAGAGAGATTTTCTTCTTGTTGTTTGATGAAGAAGAACGAATGGTATATAAGTGGGAAACGAAACAAAGGGAGTGGGAGGGGAAGTGAGTGGTTTTCTCATCCGAGTCTCTAGACTCATCCATACCCTTTATTTTTTACGCCAAACAAACACACACACACAAACGGAGCGGGTACAGGGGAGACTTTGATCGGTTTTTTTCTGTAACCATCAGGTAACCTCTTGGACCTTGAGGGGTAATTTTTCTTATTTTCTTATTTTCCTTTCTCTTTTTCCTCTCCTGTAGCAGCATGGGGTTTTCTGTCTTGATAGGGCATTCCTGAGGGATAGGAAACATGAAATGTTAAAAGCATCAAATCAATTGTTACGTTGTGCCCTGAATGTGATGTATGAGATGAAGTGAGTGAATGGGTAAATCAATATCGCCAAATCTGGCGAAACTACCTACGAAAACTGCACAGAATTTTGAGTTTCCCAGTGCCGTGGTTCAGTAGTTCTTGAGAATCAATTCAGCCAGCAAGATCAAGTTGGGATGCAGTCCAAACGAGGCATCGGAGAAAGGTCCGATGAGAGACTGATATGAATGGGATTCTCTAGAATGGGATGAACTTTTCATCAATCCGACTACCAAACCCAAAACCCCAAATCCTGAAAAAATTCCTCGAGTCAACCGGTTTGCAATAAATTGACACCAGCCGATCGTTACGCACCATGGACTCTTCTGCCCAGGCACGCCAGGTTCTGATCGCCGATCTCCCGCGAGAAGGTGATCTCGCGCATCACACCAACGACGGGCGACCCACCACACGGGTCCGAACCGAGAGCAACGTCGTTGGCAGCCCAAACCCAAACCCAATCTCAGATCGAAGCCCAAGCCCAGATTTAAGCCTACATCCCGAACATTCCGAACCCGAGCTGCTATCATCCGTCGACGTCGCAAGCCTTTATGCGCAGGTTGCTAAACTCAACGACGCGCTCGCTGCGCTGGGAGATGAGGTGCGCAGAGAGCCTTACGTAAACTCGGAGAAGGAGTGCCGAGGCGCTGCGGGTGATGTTGAGCAGCTTCTCGCGAGTTTGGCGCAGCGCGCTGCCGAGAAGACGGGGCTGGAGAGGTGGTTCCCGTGTACAGGGCGGAAGAAGAGGGATCTGCTTAGGAGGCATGTCTGTGTTGTGCAGGAGACGTGCGGGACTGTTGGTATGACGCATCTGAGGGCCGCTGATGCGTTTGCTGGGCTTTGTGGGAGGGCGGATGGTCTGGGTGAGGATGGGGAGAGGTTGCGTCAGGTTGTTGGTGAGGCGAGAGATGGGTTTGAATGGGAGATGGTGAGGTGGAAGGTGCTTGGGTGGCGGGAGGGGATTTTGAGGGATGAGTTGGAGGGGTTTGAGGCGCGGATGTCTGCTGTGAGCGGCGACAGCAGCAGTGGCGGGCTGGTTCTCAATGGACATGGGGGCGGTATTGTTGATAATGCGGCTACGACTACGACAAATGAGCGAGAGGCCACCGTCGTCGAGATGCGATTTGAGACGGAGCAGCTGGCGACGCTGCCGTCGGAAACGGAAGACTACGCACATAACCCCATAGAAGACGATCTTGGTAATCTTGTTGAGCAGCTCCAGCACATTGAAGGCGACCGCGACGCGAGGAGCCCCGGAAACGAGAGGGACGAGGTCCGCTTGGAGATCATGGCAGCTTCACTCGAGTCGTTGTTCCTGGTGGAGCACGGAGATCTCAGCGCCGATTTGCAGAGAAGGGTTGCAGCGCTGCGAGAGGGTGGGAATAGGTATCTCGACGTCGCCGAGAGGCTGGAGAAGCTTCGAGATGCGGATTATGGCGATTTGGTGGCTGGGCTGGGTGAGCTTGCGAAGAAGCCGGACGCGGAGAGTAGGCGCAAGGGTGTTAAGAAGGTTAAGGCGACTGGGCGTTTGGGTGCTTCTTATCGCGGGGTGACGACGGCTGAGTACCTTATGATGAGATGAGCCCGGCAATGTAGAAGTTGGCATCGTAATGCTGCGCGTGTAGAAATAACATCATCATTCATAAAAAGTAGGTATTTCGCTGCTGGTGGGTATCATGATCTCTGCTCGTTCTTCGTCTCGCCATCGCTGCCCTCCTCGGTATCGCCCTGCTTGTTTTCCTCGGGTTCTTTCGCCATTACGTTTTCGAACTGCGACCACAGCGCCTCGACGGAGGAGAACTCGTTTCCGACCTGTGATGCGGTGTCGACCCGCCCCGAATTAGTGCTCGAATCTATTGACGGCCGGCGTATTCGTAAAGGAGAGAGAGGAAGGCTGCTTACCGTAATGACTGCCTCAAGCGAACGATTCAGCTTATTGATGTTGGCGAGAACTTGCTCAAAGTTCTGGATTTCCCCGTCAGCATTCTCCTGTTGTTTGTTTTTGTTGATGCTCGTCGCTTCGGCGAACGAGAGGCCGACTGGGGGAGGGCTTTACCATTGCGATTTCGCCAATGAGTTCTTCGCGCTGTTGCTCAAAGTAGGTCTTTTCCCTCGTTCCCGATTGGGATTGCGAATGGGAAAAGGTCCGCTGATGTGACGACATGTCGTTTGTTGGTGGCTCTCTGTTTTTTGGAGGTTTAAGGAAGAGGTCGCGCGTCGCGTTGAGAGGAATTGGAGTTTTGGCGGTGATGGCGGGGTTTGGATGGAAGGTCACTGCGGTGGGGTTGTCTTTACAGTTTCTTGTGTGGGCATGACACTGTACGCAACACTGTGGGTGTCTCCAAGTATTGTTGATCCACGTAGCGTACATTTCTCACTCTTCACGTATTGCCATGTTATAAAGGTAGTGAAATTTAGATCAAAAGATGATTATATGTATGGACGATGCCCTAGACCACAGGGAAAGAGAAAGCCTGTATCCATGCCAAAATGTTCCAGCAAATGACCGTGAGGAAGGGTATCAAAAAAGGGTATCATAAACGAAAGCCAGAAGAGAGTCCATATCCCATCATCCGCCATAACCAACCTGTCTGCTGTATCCTTCAATCAGACGCTCTCTCTGGGCTTCACTGGCGAAGCCCCCATGACGCTAATGGCATCATCATCAATAGGCTTCGCCTGGAACGTCGACGCACTCTTGTCCACAGCAATACCCGTCTGCCCCTCGGCTCCCGATACCTCCCTTCCGTCACGCAGCTCCCAGCTCCCCTGGCGCTCGTGTCGCACTCCGCGCCCAGAGACAGCCAGGTCCGGGTCGCTAGCCATCTTCTCCGCGGCCTTGAAGCCTCCGAGCCCGGCAATCCGGCCATTGCCGTCCTTTCCTCCTGCTCCGCCTCCGGCACGATGAATCCGGAAACCGCCGAGAACAGCCGCCGAGACAACAACCAGCCCCAACACAGCGAGGACGATGATGGCGCCAATGATACCCGCGACAACGGGCTTCTGCACGGCCGAGCGAATGGCCTCGCCGACGGTCGGCGTCGTCTTCGTGGTCTGCCAGTCGCAGAACGACTGGATCGAGCCGCAGATGCTGCACCACGTCGCCGTGTCGATGCCGAACTTGGCCATCTCCTGCTTGAAGTAGCTGTACGTCACGCGGGTGTCGCCCTCGGCGAGGCCGAAGAGGGGATACTCCAAGAAGGGGGTGCCCGGCTCGGCGTTCTCGCGGTAGAGGAAGCGGACGTAGAGGTTCTCCTCGGTCGGGTAGGTGTCTGGCTCGTTGGGCTGGTCGCCGACGAGCTCGAAGACCATGGCGGCACCGTTTTCGGGGAGGCTCCAGAAGGGCGTCGTGGAGAGCGTCTGGTTCGGCTTCTGGAGCCCCGCGAGGGAGAAGAAGGAGAGGAAGGGCTCCTGGGAGCTGAAGAGGAGGGTCAGCTTGTTGGAGTAGCCGGCGAAATTGCCGTTGGCCTCGAGGGCGTCGACGACCCTGCGCGCAAAGGTCCGGCCGGCGATGGTGCGGATCATGTCTCCCTTTTGGAGGCCCGAGACGGCTTGGTTGGAGGTCATGTTGAGCTGCTGGAGGCGGGCGTACATTTCGAGGAACTCTATGCGCTGGGCGTACACGTCTTGGAGACCGTCGTAGACGGCCTGCTCGTGGGAGTAGCGGTAGCGGACGTAGTCGTAGATGTCGTAGGCGTTCCAAAAGTTCACATGTGCGAGGGAGATGTCGCCGTCGTTTAGTGGCGGCGTGCTGAAGAGGGATGTGTAACCGGGGCGGGAGGCTTGCTCGAGGGCCTGCATGTACGGGTCGAGCTGCATGACATACGTTGTCGAGATCTTCCACTGCGGGCATTCCGTGTTGCCCCGAACACTTTACGATGGCAAGTCAGTTCAGTCCCAAGGGGCATACTATGGTTAATGGAACTTACTCAATCGACCTATCGTCAGACAGTCCCAGCGTCTCAATGATAGGATATTGGTAACCGCCCAGGGGATACTGCGTGGTGTTTCCAGAGATTGTCGAGTACGAGATGTTCGTCCCGCCAGTATCGGCCGCAAAGGCCTGCGTGATGGGCGGGTAGAGGCCCTGCATGAAGGCAGCAGCGCCGGCGGCGATGTGGGCATCGGGGAGGGAGAGGATCGAGAGCTGCTCATGCTCATACACGTTGCGCGCAATTCCCTTGATCGCGGCGCGGGTCGTGATGCGACCCTCGGAGGTGTTTGTGGGTGTTCCGCTGGCCAGGTAGCGACTTCTAAAGGCATTTCCCTGGGCGTACATCTCCTGAGCACCCAAAGGAGTCAGGGTATCTTGGAGCCCGCTGCGCACCGGCGTGCGCTCACCGTGCATGATCATTGCGACGGACGCCCATACTGAAGGAGTCGAGGGCGCGGCCGAGGTCGCTGCGATCAGGGTCCCAATGAGGACAATCAGGGATAGGGTAGACATGACGGGCGAGAAGCCTGGGTTGCGTGTCATACGGTTGCAAGATTTGGGTGATTGAACTTGCAGTACGGGCTTACACAGGCAACAGAAAGCTCGAGGCAACGGAGAGATCAATCCGATACAGACGAACGGCTGCTCGGTACAGAGAATGGAGGGGAGAGCTCGGCTTAAAAGAACATGACCAGACCACCAGTCTAGAGGCAGAGGAGAGCTTGGAAGGACCGGAGCATGCAAGGCTCGCATGCAGCAAGGCGGCGGTGGGAAGCTAGCTGGGCTTACACCATCTTCACCTCAGAGGGGAACATGAGTGACAGCTTCTCACCGCATGTCGCCTCGATAAGCCATCGAGTGTCTTTCCTTCCTTCCTTCCCCCAAGACGCTTGTCTCGGAGGGATGATGTAGGCAGTACATGACGTGCTTGAGGCCCAGAGCGACAGAACGAGTCAGGGTACAAGGCCGGACATGGCAGACGGGCGGCATTGTCTTTCTTGGCTACCGTTGCGACTCCAACAGATGGGTGGTCGACGATGGCGGTGGTGACGGATGGGGCCGACGCGGGATGGCGTGGAAAGCGCAGCAAGGATCTACAATGTCTGCATGCTAGCAGAGTGGAGATGGCGGCACATGGCTGACTTTCAAGTAGGCCGAGCCAAGTAAGTTATCCAAATCAGGGAGAGGTGAAGGAAGTTGGAGGCAGTCGAGGTGATAAGGTGAGAGACTGAGAGAGTTGTGAACGGAGAGCCGAACTCAAGAGGCCAAGGTGCGGGGTGACTGCATGGCGCGATTGAGCTCCAAGCTACGTTATCAGCTATCCTCGATAGCTCCGGCCAATGATGGAGCAAGCCACTCATGCATTTGACGCTTGGAAGAGAAAAGGCGAGAGGGTGCGATGGGATGCCGCAATCGGCTGCATCGGCCAGAAGAAGCTGGTTGCAGCGGCCGTTTTTAACGTGCGGTAGCGACGATCAGGCGGGGGAATTGGGCTGGATTGAGACTGTCTGACATGATTGCCTTGCTCGTTCCTTGCTCTTACGCGACATGTCTTGGGTTTCTAGACGATGATCTGTAATTTGCCAACCAACATAAGGTAGCCAAGGTAGTCGAGACTGGGGCAGAAGAGTATGCGTATGACCCGACAACCTGGGTCTAGATGCCGCGAGAAACTAGAATAGTCCACATCAACGATCCGTTCTGCTTAGTCTGGAAAGATGAAGATGAAGAAGGTATCTGGGGTGGCTGGGAGCAGGCGATGGGGCAGTAGGAGTGCTGTTTAGCTTCCAGCATCAGTTCGTGCTATCAGCCACCCCCGGTCAAGTCTGTCCAATGGGCTTACACCAAAGTGTTCACATGCCTCGTCGACAAGGGACGGATAAGGAACTGTTTGGAGATGGTCCAGTAAGCTTAAAGTCTTTCGAGGCACCTTAGTCCAGCCGGGCGTCGTGGGCTAAAAGTTCGAATCTCAGACATCCAGCAAAGAACGGATCGAGTCGAGATCTGCGGCGAAGCCAGTGGCTTTGAGGAGCAAACGGAGTGCGGGTTCGTAAGGCAAGTCAGGAAGTCAAGGTGAGGACGGAAGAAGTGTGCACAGTGAACTGAAGACGAAGAAGAGGACTGAGGAGAACACCGCTGGTGGTTCAATCGAGCAGCTGGTCACAGCTGGCCGCAGCTGTGTATGCTTCTTTCGCCAGCTGTAAACCCACGATGTCTTATCTTATCATCAAGGTGGTAAGGTACCTATTATCTTATCTATATCTTATCTACATCTCACCCCAGTGTCCCAAGAGGTTTATAGCGAACTCTCCAAGTCAACCAAGTCCTTGAGCACCGCATCCTTTTCTCCCTCAAACTTTGCGCTCGCAACGAGGCCAAGCGGCCGCCTGCTCCGTCCGCCACCATACCCGAAGTACCTGTCCAGCGCAGCCTTCAACCCGGCAACGCCCAGCTGTACCAGCACCCAGTCCGCCCGGCTCAGCTTCGTCTGCAACTCGATCGCCTCCTTGAGCTTGCCGGCATCGTACAGCTCCAGCAGCTTGACGTGCACCTTGGGCGTGAAGTTGGCAGCCGCCGCGATGACGCCGTTGGAGCCCGCCACGAGCCCGTGCAGGAAAAAGTCCGACTTGCCCGCGAACGCGGCAAAAGGCTGAGGGACGCGCTCGTCGTGTGCTACGCGGTGCAGCTTGCCGAGGTTGCCACAGGTGAGCTTGCAGCCCACGACTTTAGGGTTCGAGGCCGCCAGGTCGGCGATGAGGTCTGAGTCGAGGTCGATGCCCGATGTCACGGCGGGGAAGTTGTATAGGAGGATGGGGATGGGCGATGCCGTTGCGACGTCGTCAAAGAACTTTTGGATCACGGGCTTTTGCATCGCACCGGCTATAATTATTCACAAAGCGGGTCAGTAATCTACACATCCGGATGTTCATCTTTGACAGCTTAGTGGCCCAAGAAAACTCACTCCAGTAACTCGGCGAAAGGACGAGAGCGTAGTCTGCCCCCGACTCCTTGGCTTCGGTGCAGAGCTGGATGGTTTCCCGTGTGCTCTGCGCGCCGCAGCCGGCAATGATGACGGCCTCGGGCTTCCCGTGTTGCTTGAGCACCTCGGCCGCCGTTGCGATGACCTGCTGTCTCTCCGAGTGGAGCAGATGCGGTGCCTCTCCGTTGGATCCCTGGATGACCAAGCCAGCCACGCCCGACTTAGCGAGCCGCGTAATGTGCGTCTTTAGAGCTTCAATATCGAGAGTCTCGTCTTCGTGGAAGAAGGCCACGACGGGGGCGTAGATGCCGCGAGGGGGTGCATGAGGGGCCATTTTGTCTGATCTGAGGTATTGTATGCAGTGAAATAAAATAATCTTAACAATACCAATCCATAATACCTACGAATTCCCTCATGGGAGGGATCGCTAGCTACTCTTATTTGGCCCATTCATCCCCATATCGTCCCTCCGCTGAAATGACATGCTTCGGTATTGACCCGTAAGTTTCGGAGCATTTGATAATCTCAAGATGGAGCACTCCATCAAAGTGGACTGCGACCCCGCGGGCCCCTCATCCGAGCTCGACTCACGCCGGTGCCGGACCCTTGACCGGGTTCCAACTCCGAGTCGGCTGGGGTCCCGAGATCCCTGGTCTACTATTCATACCTCGCCGTCGCGACTTTTCGTCTCTCGACGAGAGAATCGTAGCTTCACTTATTCGCATTTTCACATCGATTCTAACAACTAGCCAACAATGGGTTCAGTCAAGCAGCAAACGTCAGCTTTCGAGCAAGCAGAGTTCATCCCGCCCGACGCCATCTTCGATGTCACCAGGCGCTACGTCGCTGACACGGATCCGAACAAGGTCAACCTCGGTCAAGGCACCTATCGCAATGAGAACGGTCAACCGTGGATCTTGCCATCTGTGAGACTGGCAGAAGCATCCCTTGGAGAGCCTGGGCATGAGTATCTTCCCATCGCGGGATTCAAGCCCTTCCGCGATGAAGCCGTCAAGCTCGTTTTCAGCCCCACAAAGGCATTCGCAGAGAACCGTGTAAGTGTTTGCATCAAGCTACCCATTTCACCATCAACTGACCAACTTCACAGGTCGCATCATGCCAATCGCTCTCCGGAACAGGCGCCCTCCTCCTCGCCGGCCTCGCCCTGAAGAAGGCTGCCGCACACATCAAGACAATCTACATCACCGACCCGACGTGGTCCAACCACGAACTCCTCTTCGCCTCCCTCGGCTTCGAGGTGAAGCACCTGCCCTACTACAAAGACCGCGCCTTCGACTTTGACGGCTACATCTCGACCTTGAAGAGCGCCGAACCGTCTACCTCGGCCGTCATCCTGCACGCCTGCGCACACAACCCCACGGGCTGCGACCCCTCGCAGGAGCAGTGGAAGCAGATCGCCTCAGCCATCATCGAGAGGCAAATCTTCCCCGTCTTCGACTCGGCCTACCTCGGCTTCAACTCGGGCTCCGTCGACGACGACGCCTGGGCGATTCGCTATTTCGTCGACGAGCTCGGCCTCGAAGCCGCCGTGTGCATGTCGTTTGCCAAGAACATGGGTCTGTACGGCGAGCGCGTTGGCGCCGTCACGTTTGTGGCCGACACGGCGGAGAGGACGAAGACGGTCAACTCGATTCTGGAGAACGTGCAGAGGGCGACGGTGTCGAATCCGCCTGCGTACGGCGCTCGCATCGCGGCGGCGGTGCTGGGCACGCCGGATTTCAAGGAGCAGTGGGCAAAGGACCTTATTACCATGTCGGGCCGCATCCGCGCCATGCGGAAGAAGGTGTATGACGAGCTTGTTCGGCTGCAGACGCCGGGTGATTGGTCGCATATCGTGAAGCAGAGCGGCATGTTTGGGTACACGGGTATCACTAAGGCCCAGGTTCAGCACCTTGAAGGTTTGTCGTTCCCTCTTACAGAAACTATCGGTCTAGTTTGCGAGATACTAATGTTCGATTTACAGAGAAATACCACGTCTACATGGCCGACACATCACGAATCTCAATTGCGGGTTTAAATGAGAAGAATGTAGAGTACTTTGCAAAGGCTCTTGATGAGACGGTTCGGAGTGTGCAATGATCGTGTATTAGCCATGATGTAATGGAATTAGCATAGCTCATAATGATCACATTACACTGTTAAAGAATAATCTCATTTCAACGTCCGAAATCGCTGTGTGGCCGAGTTTCTCTGAATGAAATGCACCGAAATCACAATGCCGACGATCACTCAGACCTATAAGACCAAGGATAATGCTACCTAACACATACCGAAGGTACTTACAGCAGTGACGCCGCCGCCCTCAGAGCGGAGCTCCGCCCTTCGGCTGCCCCTCCCGAAGCTGATAAGCCGAACCACCGACCCCGCCGCCCGTCAATCATCTCTCCGCGGGGGACGCTGAGGGGCAGAAGGGGGATTCTCGCCCGCATCTCATCGCTTATCGGATCCCCAAATGGCAGATGACAAAGGAGCTCTCCATCCCTCCTTTACTCACTCCGCCTCCACTTCGTCCTTCTATCCGTACTTTTCCATCTTGACTATGAAAATGCACCAAGTGGAGCATCCGCGACCAATGTAGAACGGGGATAACTGAATTCAAGTCAACGACTCTCTGGCTTTCTCTCCGAAGACACCTGCCGAGGGGAGCTCCGGCGATGAAATTTTGTGGGGGAAGGCTTCGGGTGTTTGCCGTTTTGGGCTTATCGAGTGGTTGCCCGCGACCTTCGTGGGAACTTGTATAATCATCACGAATTCCAGCTTCACTGAATTTCATCTCAATCCGATAGTACTCATTTCCATTCCGTTCATCTTCACGAAACCCTTGACATCTCTGAGAATCTGAACTTAAGACTTTCAGATGCTTTCTTTTCACATTCAATAATACCATTATCAACTCAGAGCACTAATCATCATGGGTTCACTTCCGGGCCCTGTGGGGGGAATCAGGATTTCCATCGACCGCGGTGGCACCTTTACCGATGTGAGTCTTGGTCATTTGGAAAGGGCCTGAGGTGATGAAGTACTAACGTCTCAGTGTGTTGCATCTGTCCCCGGCCAAGATGATATCCTCGTCAAATTGCTTTCAGTCGACCCCAGCAACTACCCCGATGCCCCAGTCGAAGCGATCAGAAGAGTCCTGGAGAAAGCGACAGGAAAGGAGTATCCCAAGGGAAAGAAGATTTCTCTACGAGGTGTTGGTACGTGAAGGATGACTTCGCCGGGCTAGTGGCGCGTCCGCTGACAGTGGTACACAGAGTCTATCAAAATGGGAACTACAGTAGCCACAAACGCCCTCCTCGAGAGGAAAGGAGAACGCACAGTATTTGCTGTGACGAAGGGCCTCAAGGTAAGACCAAGATTCAAGAACAGAACCCTGGGGACTTTAGACTGACAATCGACTTTCAGGATCTCCTGCACATCGGCAACCAGTCAAGGCCAAAACTCTTCGACCTCGCCATTCGCAAGCCCGACGTACTATACTCAAAAGTCATTGAAATCCCAGAACGCGTGACACTGGACGCATGGTCAGAAAACAACAAGCCCGAACCTATCGATGTCTCTTCAGACCCCGCGCTCGTCACCGGCGTCACCGGTGAAGCAGTCCGGGTCCTCGAGCCTCTCGGTTAGTGGTCATCTCTTGAACAATCTCCCTCGCAAGGCGAGCACAAACTAATATATGCCCACATTTACAGACATCGAGGCATCCAGAAAGGCCCTACAAGAAGCCTACGACGAGGGCTACCGCTCCATCGCCGTCTGCCTCATGCACAGCTACACCTTCCGCGACCACGAGGCGGCCATCGCCCAGCTCGCCGCCGACATCGGCTTCACCCATATCTCCCCGAGCGCCGAGCTCTCCCCCGTCGTCAAGATCGTGCCCCGCGGTAACTCCTCCACCGCCGACGCCTACCTTACCCCTGAGATCAAGCGCTATATTGCCGGCTTCGAGTCCGGCTTCGAGGACCTCGCCAACAGCGGGTGCCGCTGCGAGTTCATGCAGAGCGATGGCGGCTTGGTCGAGTTTTCTGGTCTGTCTGGTTTGAGGGCCATTCTCTCTGGGCCTGCTGGCGGTGTCGTCGGCTATGCGAGAACGTGCTATGACGACGCGGATAAGACACCTGTGATTGGATTTGATATGGGCGGCACGAGTACTGATGTTTCAAGGTATGGCGGATTGAGAATCACTTCGTGAAGGCGATACTGACACATTGCCCTAGATACGCCGGCGAGCTCGAGCAAGTCTTCGAGACCACGACGGCCGGTGTCATGGTCCAGACTCCGCAGCTGGACATCAACACCGTCGCGGCGGGCGGCGGCAGCATCCTCAGCTGGCAGAGCGGCATGTTCAAGGTCGGACCCGAAAGTGCCTCCGCTCATCCCGGCCCGGCCTGCTACAGGAAAGGCGGTCCCCTGACCGTCACCGACGCCAACGTCGTCCTCGGCCGCGTGAGGCCCGAGTTCTTCCCCAAGATCTTTGGTCCCAACGAAGACTTGCCCCTGGATGTCGACGCCAGCAGACGTCTCTTTGAGGAGCTCACAGCGAGCATCAACAAGGACGAAGGCACCACCCTGACCGTGGAGCAAGCCGCAGCTGGGTAAGTGACACTATGATACCGAGTCTCATTTGCCGCCCCTGGACTGACAAGGTCACGCAGCTTCCTTGACGTCGCCAACGAGTCCATGTGCCGCCCCATCCGCACCCTCACCGAAGCAAAAGGCTACGACGCAGGCCTGCACAACCTCGCCTCCTTCGGCGGTGCCGGCGGCCAGCACGCCTGCGACATTGCAAAGACGCTCGGCATCTCCCGCGTCCTCGTCCACAAGTACTCCTCCGTCCTCTCCGCCTACGGCATGGCCCTCGCCGACGTCGTCAGCGAGGAGCGCAGCCCCTGCGCCCTGACCTACACCGAGGCCAACCTCGCCACCTTCGCCTCGGAGCTCGACAAGCTCGTCGAGAGAGCGGGAGACGTCCTCCTCATGCAGCGTATCCCCGAGGAACGCATCGTGAGCGAGCGATACCTCAACATGCGCTTCCAGGGCAGCGATACCCCGCTCATGATCCAAGAGACGGCGGCGGCGCCCGGTGGGGGATACCTCGAGGCCTTCAAGGACGCTCACCAGAAGCAGTTTGGGTTCCTGCCCGTCGGCCGCGATGTTATTATCGACGACTACCGCGTCCGCGCCATCGGCAAGACGACGGTGCAGCTCCCCGTCCCTTGGCCCAAAGAGCTTGCTTCCGCGGAGGCGACGGCCGCGCCGCCCGCCAAGACGACAAAGCAGGTCTACTTCAAGGGTTTGGGCTGGTCCGAGACGCCCGTGTACGGACTCGCGGGCCTGACGCCGCATACCAAGATCGCTGGCCCGGCACTCATCATGGACGACAAGCAGACGATTGTGGTGATCCCCGACGCCGCGGCGACGGTGCTCTCCGAGACGGTGGTGATTGACGTCGCGGTCGGGACAAAGGAGACCATCTCCACGACGACGATTGACCCGATCCAGCTGTCCATCTTTGGCCATCGGTTCATGGGCGTCGCGGAGCAGGCCGGTCGCGCGCTGCAGAAGACGAGCGTGAGCACTAATATCAAGGAGAGGTTAGATTTCTCGTGCACCGTGTTTTCGCCTGATGGCGGGCTTGTGGCTAACGCCCCTCACGTCCCTGCCATGGTAAGTTCCTCAAAGACAGCCCAGGTGATGGTAAATGGGAAGGCTAACATGATTTAGATCGGAAGTATGGCCTTTGCTGTGAAGTGGCAAATCGACCACTGGGGCGACAACCTCAAGCCAGGAGACGTCATCCTCTCCAACGCACCAGTCTGCGGCGGCACCCATCTCCCCGACCTCACAGTGATCACGCCCGTCTTCAACGCCGAAGGCAGCAAGATCATCTTCTGGACCGCCTCCCGAGGCCACCACGCCGACGTCGGCGGCATCCTCCCCGGCTCCATGCCCCCCAACTCCAAGGAGCTGTGGGAGGAGGGCGCCGTCATCAAGGCTTTCAAGGTCGTCGAGGGCGGCGTCTTCAAGGAGAAGGAGCTCACCGACCTGCTCATGGCGCCGGCGCACTCGCCCGGCTGCTCCGGCACCAGGTGCCTCCGCGACAACATCTCCGACATCAAGGCGCAGGCGGCGGCGAACCACCGCGGAAGCCAGCTGATCCACGCCCTGATTGAGGACTACGGTCTCGACGTCGTTCAGTTCTACAGCAAGTCACTTCTATTCAACCACAGCTTTAAAACTTCCCATACTGACACCCCAAACAGTGGAAGAGATCCAAGGCGCAGCCGAGCGCGCCGTCCGCGACATGCTCAAGACGATCCACGAGCGCACGGCAGGCAAACCCCTCGAAGCAATCGACTACATGGACGACGGCACCCCGATCCAGCTCAAGGTCACAATCGACCCCACCACCGGCGGCGCCGTCTTCGACTTCCACGGCACCGGCCCCGAAGCCTACGGCAACTGGAACGCGCCCATCGCAATCTGCAACTCGTCCATCATCTTCGCCCTCCGCTGCATGGTCGACGCCGAGATCCCGCTCAACCAGGGCGCCATCCGGCCCATCGACGTCCAGGTCCCCGAGGCCTCGTTGCTGAAGCCCACAGAGCACGCCGCCGTGTGCGCCGGCAACGTCCTGACTTCGCAGCGCGTCGTCGACGTCATCTTCAAGGCGTTTGGCGCGGCCGCGGCCAGCCAGGGGTGCATGAACAACTTGACCTTCGGCACGGATGACCCGGAGACCGGGTTCGGGTACTACGAGACCATCTGCGGCGGCGCGGGCGGCGGACCGAGCTGGGATGGTGTCAGCGGCGTGCATACCAACATGACCAACACGCGCATTACGGACCCGGAGTCGCTTGAGCGGCGGTACCCCGTCATCCTCCGGCAATTCTGCCTGCGCGAGGGAAGCGGCGGAAAAGGAGCTCACACGGGAGGCGACGGCATCATCCGCGATATCGAGTTTAATATCCCGATCAAGGTCAGCATCCTCAGCGAGAGGCGGGCGTTTGCGCCGTACGGTATGGCGGGCGGCGAGGACGGGCAGCGGGGCCGTAATGTGTGGGTTAAGAAGAGCGGGCGCGTCGTCAACCTCGGCGGGAAGAACACGGCCATGATGGAGGCGGGCGATCGCATTGTGATCATGTCGCCTGGTGGTGGCGGGTATGGACGGCCCGAAGACAGGGTCGAGGGGAAAGCGAAGCCGGCGGCTGCGTTTGTGGGTGTTGCGAATGGAACGGTTGATATGATCCAGAGCATGGGAGAGTCTGCATAAAGAGAGCATCTTGGGACGGCGTTGGGTTCATTTTTTATGGTAATATATGGGGTTATCTTTTGCCTGATGCTGTCACGAAATATTCTATCAAACATTTGCACGTTATTCGAACGTCCAATGATGTTTACATGAATGTCACCATTGGGTTCTCTGACTACAGTCTCAACATCTTTAAAGCTTCAAGTCAGGATTCTCAAGTCTCTTCAACCCAGACTTACGAGAAGCCTAGCTTTCGAGTTCATTTAGCCTTTAGTCACAAGGTGAAGTCAAGTCACTCAAAGTAGCAAATATCAAGCCTTGCAGTAAAACCCTGCTCTGTATTCATTCCTTTTTCGCTATGCAGTCAATTCTCTGTTCCGGGCGTACTAAAAACAAGGGCGAAAAACTCGCCACCGTCGCCTTAATCCTCTCGGTCAATCGTGGTATCATGAGCAAACAAAAAATCGCTTTTTGGTGCCGCCCCTTTTTCTTTTCTTCTTGCCTTGCTGTCCCGGTCCCTCCCGTCTCCCTTTTTTTTCTACTCCAGAAACTGCTCAGTGTGGACGGAAAAGCATGCCGCCCCATATATAACAAGTGATTTTCGTGGTCAGATTATCGACTCTCGGGTTGACAACCCTCTTATACACAAACCCCCGGCGGCTTTTGTTGACGACACCCTTGGTCTAATATAAGGCGTAGGATGGTGGTGTCGCGAGTAACACCCCCGGTCAGAGTAGCCATCCCCAAGGTGAAGCCTAATTCTCCAAGACCTGATCCTTCCTCACTGTAAGTCCTGGATGCCGTCGTGGTAGTAATTCTGGTGATAATCGTTGATAACGGCGGGTTGATGAAGATACGAAGCCATAATTAGGTCGTCACTCTATGATACGCTAGCGCTGGCGCTTTCGCTATATGCTTCAAGCTCCCTAAGACTCTGCATAAGAGCGGCTTCCTTGAGATCTTCGGTCTCTTGACTGTAGACCGCAGCTGATGAATCGGTCGTGTAATTGGGCGCAGTCTCAGCAGCCTGAGAGACCTGCGGCTGGATGTGCTGCTGTTGAGGTTGGTGCTGCGGCTGTTGAGCATGGTGTTGCGGCTGTGGCGTTCCCGGGTGAGAATGATGCTGGATGTGGGAATGCGTCGGCGTTTGTGGCTGAGTTTGTGGCAAGCTGTGAGATGTTTGTAATTGAGCAGCGGTTGCGGCATACGGTGAGGAAGCTGGCAAAACTCTAGCATGGCTCGGTGTTGCTTGTACTGGCGTGGCAGGCGGGCCCGCTGCAGCAGCATGCGTCGGTGTCGTCGCATGGGCGGCCATGTGATGCGAGACCTGGGCGGCAGACTGTGACGGCGTGCTCGGTGCAGTCGCTGGTGTCACGCTTGCTCTATTTTGCTGAAGGTGCTGCGCATGTTGTGCGTGTTGTACATGCTGTGGATGCTGCGGGTGTTGTGCATGTTGAGGGTGGTGGGGATGCTGAGGATGCTGTAATCCGCCCGCAAGTGTCATGATGCCCTGTACCCGAGCTTGCTCCTCCTCTGAGTTCATCCTAGCTCGCTCCTCAGCCTCCTTGCGGGCAGCTTGTGTAGGTGCCCTTGTCTTGAGCTCGCCTGTGACGGCTTGCAGATAATACGGCATCTCGGAGTTTGTCTTTAGGAAGAAGAGCTTCAAGTTGCGGGCCTTGTCTTTGAGCTGGACTTGCGTTCGATCTTTCAGTATGTTGGAAAGAGTGCCCTCTGCACCAAACAGAGACAAAATTTGGCTCCAGTGAGGTCCCTGGACCATATCGAGACCAGTCATGAGGGCCTTCTCCTCCTCTTGAGTCCATGGGCGTCTTGTCGAAGTGGTGCCTTCCCTTCTCTGCTGGTTATTGGTCTTGCTCAAGGCAGCTTGGCGGGCCCTGTCGTAAAGCACAGCACTAGGTAGGCTCTGACTAGGAGGCAGCTTTTCGTTACTCTCATGAGCCGTAGGCTGCGGTGGTTGTTCCACTGGTGGCGGGTATCCGTAGTATGGCGATTGTTGCTGGGTTTGTTGCAGGTGTGAGAGGTATGTCGTCTGCGTGACCGGAGCGGCGCCCGTCGGTGTGGGTACGGTTGGCTGATAGGGCGCTGGAGACAGGTTGTTTAGAGTAGTTCGAACGTACTCCTGTGTGCTCTGTGCAACAAGGGCGAGAATATCATTCGTCGCGTCTTGAGTTTCAGTTGTGGTACCATTTGTGGTTGGCGCCGGGGGAGCGGCTTCAGGGGCAGGCGCAGGTGGTTCGGGGGGCGGGACACTGCTCTCAGTCGTCGGAACTGGCGGCTGTTGTTCGGTAGGTAATCCATCGACCGGTTCACTGGGGAGATATTGCGCAACAAGTCCATCCGTAGCCTCCAGTAATGATGAGATTCCGAGGTCGTCGAGATCGGGTGGCATCGATGCGTCGAGGTCTCCGTTGGTCATAATCTGAGGAAGATCGATGCCGTGCCTCGAGGCCAGTCCAGAGACCGACTGTAGCTTTTGGCGCAGGTACACATTCAGTTGGTGAAATAAGTCTTCCTCCGGGTAGCCGATCTTCAGTAGAACTAACTCAATGTATCAGTCATGGGCCCCATCAGCCTTTGCACTCGACAACTTACCAGTATCTGGGAGTCCTGACGCGTAAGTAATCAGGGACGTTTTGCGCTCCTCCACAGATGTCACCAGGGCTCTCTCTTCAGCAGTCAAGTCAGATCCTTCGTGTCTTGCTTTTAGCTTATCTTCCAGGCTGGACGAGAAAGCCTGGGCAATCAACTGGTCAACAGGCCCAGACTGATTCGCTGATGTCACGGACTCGATGACTAGTTGTGTCTTGACTGCGAGGAAGAGCTCAGAGATATCATGCGAAATGCCCTCGGTGCCTGGCGGGAAGACGGTGAAAAATTTGTCCTCCAGAGCCAAGAGCTCGTTCGAGCCGAGTTGGTGTTCGCCGTCGAAGGTGAAAAGTTCGCAACAGAAACTGGCGAGGTTGGCGACTTGGATATCGGTGAGGTTATCCGGCGCAGTCAGATCAAGCACTGCGGGGTCCAAGATAAGGTCGGTCGTGGAGTAAATCGATCGAGTTTGCCGGAGCAGAGACTTGAGTGTGCTGAAGGACTTGCAGAGGTCTGATTCTCTGTCTTGTAACTGCTGATAAACGTCGTGGTAGACATGCTGCGACATGATTACGAGAAGTTGCATAGCCTGAAGATTGAGATATGATTAGCAGCGCCTCCAGAGCTGACGAGACCGCCACGTACAAAGTTTGACAAACAGGAGGTGGTGATGCGCCTCATCAAGGCCGAAGGCTCAGAGAGAACAATGGCATGTGTGTCAGTTGACGGGGCAGAGTCTTGCGACACAGACGCCAAGTGATCTGCCGTCATGTCGACATCCGTGACGCCGTCCAGACCCTCGACCTTTCCTATCTCATTGTTCATCTCGTTGCTGATGTCCATCATCACACCCTGGATCATGGCGTCCATGTCAAATCCGAGATCGAGAGCCGCATGGTCGTCGTGATTCTCCTCCTGAGGTTGCTCGTGAGTTTGCTCCTGTGGTTGCTCTTGGGGTTGATCTTGGGGCTGCTCTTGGGATTGCGCTTGAGATGGCTCTTGAGATTCTTCGAATGCTTGTTCGAGTGATCTCTCGATCGACTTCTCAATTGACTTCTCGAGTGATTCCTGGAGTGATTGCTCGAGTGATTTTTCAAGTGATTTCTCAAGTGATTGTTGCTCCGGGGTTTGTTGGGGTGGTTGATCGTCGTCAACTTTCAGCCTCTTGGACTCGGCCTCGGGGTCGTCTGCGCTCGAATCGCGGGGTCGCTTCAGTGGGAACTGAGGGGTCTCGCCCAGATTGGTGGTGACAGTCGGGGACTCCTGTTTCATTTCTGGTCCTACTACGGCAAGTCAGCCTGGTTTGCGACGCTTGCGAAAGCGTGCCTCGGGTGCGTGCAAGTTGGTTCGAGGCCGGGTGAAGATCTTTTGCTTGGTGGGATGGCGGGAAAGGCAAGCGCATACCTGTCGGCGAGTGCGCCTCAGGCTTGGCGGCCTGAGCCGACTCGGCAATAGCTTCAATGCCCTCCATGAGCATCGAGAAGCACGGAGACAGCTTTTTGGGGTCAGTCTGGTCGCCGTGCAGCTCAATGGCGGGGGGTCAGTCGTGATCTTGACGGTTCTTGGACTGAGGCGGAAAAACTTTTTGGGAGAAAATCCGAGCGCCGATGCCCTTATAATCTGCCCCAAAGAAGATGTCACTCCCGATACACAGGAAGGAGCGATTTCTCAAAAAAATTCACCGCTGCTTCCCAGTAAAGAATGACTACTGATTGGCCAGCGCAATCAAAATGCAACTTGGTCCATGCGTTCGGTCTCCACTCTGCCACTTTATCGCAACGATTTTTTTTTTCTTGTCCCCTGCCCCTCGGAGCCGCGTCCACCTGCACGCCGAATCCAGATGGCCATCCCAACCCCTCAATTTTTTCCGTTCTCGAGACGGGAAGCTCAAAACCTTCTAGGTTGGCTGTTGTCGAATTCTTTTCTGCCTCAGAGGAATGGGCCAATAGAACCACTCAAGCCTCACCCTATCTGGATAGTAAACCATATATCTTGTCTTTCACCGCATACTTTCTTTTGTAAATGCTCAAATCATAGAGTCTGTCACCCAGCAACGGACCTACCTTTTCTTAAGGGACAATCATGTTGCTGCCATCCCGCATGACGTCATTCCCCAGATTCACCCCTTTCAGTCTGGGGTTCTTGGAGATTGATGACCAGGGGATCAACATGATATGTCACTGGCCCATTCTGCCAATCACGACCGCCAGGGATGAGTTCCTTCTCACAGTTTGACGAGCCTTCTCAGCTGGATACACGTGATCATGTCAAGCATTCTCTTGAAAAGTGAGCGTTCATCAAGAGTATGGACTATAATTCTCATACTCGAGACGTGATGTACAGTACGTGTAGTCGGTGGCAGTAGCATCGAAGAGTCTTACTCCATCTCTCAGTTTGGAGCCTGGAGTCAGGCTCAGATGGCTGTCTGCTTCAATTAAGCAGGTACGAAGGTCATTTCAATGCTATGATTGATGCTTCACCCACTCGGTCGTTCCTTCATCAAGATGAAAGACCAGCCTGGCGTTCTTTCCTCCGGGCGCGATTCAAGTTCGGACCTCGTGCCTCCCACTTTTGCATCGTTTCGTTTCATTAGACAAGATACCTACCTACCTACTCTCGATCTTTCTCTTGCCGCTGACACACCAGTCCCTTCTCCTCCTTCGCGAGTGATCAAGGTACCTACCTATCTACCTAACTAAGCATCGGAAAGCACTTCGACATGTCGGCCAGAAATGGTGCTTCGGGCATCAGCAAAGAGGGTCCCGAAGCAGACAAGAGGCTGCTAGGCAAGCGTAAAGAAGTTCTGCTAGGAAGATTGAGGCGTTACCTGAACCATCCGGACACCAAGCATGATCACATCGACGCTTTACGGGATGCTCTCCTTCCCAAAATTTCTTATCTCAGCGACATTGACGCAAGACTTGAACTCGCCAAGTCTTGGTGCCGCAGTTCGCATTCGGCCTATTGCAAGCATCATAGAAGAGACTTTGAAGTTGTGGACAAACTGGCGTGGGCATCACTCATGATGGCGCCGATGGAGGCCATTCGCAAATTCCACGATGAAGAGTGTACGGACGATGGATGTCCTTCACAATCAGATACGTGCTACCTCGGAGAGTCTGCTATTTTCTCTCCAGGATGATTGGAGAGTGTGAGTTGCTCAAAACACCTTGCAAGAGATCAGCGAGCCAACACTGGTAAATTATAGTGTTTCCCAAACGTGGTTATCTTCCGGCTCACCATTACGAGCCCAAGGATGGCCTCAACGCGGTCGAAGTAAAGGACCATCTGAGAGGCGATATCAAACAAGCTATTGTAAGTTTCCGCACGGCCCACAAGCATATTTGTGCAGGTACTGATCTGTTCAGTCCGCTTCTTCACTCCGAGACGAGAGCACTTGCGTTGTCACAAAGTCTGCCGACCCCAGGGTTTGTCTGGTCCTTCCTTTTCCTACTTCGCAAACTGCTGCTTCGTTGGAGTATATCTTGCATAAAGATTCGGGAGACATTTTTGGCTTTGAGATTCGCAAGTATCTCGCTGTTTTACAGTCGCTGGCTACCGTCTTCTCTTTGGTGAACATGATCTCCCTCAACGAGATACTCTCGAAATGGTGGGCGAAGGCGTGGATTGCCCTCGAGCCTATCTCACAAACCGACTGCTCCATCCGGCTCCGGCTTAGATGGCTCCGAAAAGCCATGTTTGATCAGGAAAGGGATCATAGAGTTGGCAGGCTCGAATCTGTCCGAGGATCCTACGCCAAAGTGGTGTGCATCGACATGGACCCCCGCATGGTCTCTCGGGAGAGACTCACTCAGTCTGGAAAGTCTCTTCGCATGGTCCACTTTGAAACACGTGAGTACGTCGAGGACGGCTACGAGTTCGACATTACTGCGGCCAGGAAGGAAGACCTCCCAGACTTTGGACTGCTCAAGGTTCGGTACATCCTTTCGATAGCTTTGTCACTGACGGGCGAGGGGTTAGCCGAGGACGATCAGCAGTGAGTTGCGAGTCACAAACATGGGGAGGAGATACGGATAGCAACCGAAATGGATGTAACATCAATATTTATGGACAATAACGCTGGGGGTTACAAGGGAAGGCTTGCTCAAATTGACCACAGAATAGGAAATCCTGCTACTTCTCACGGCCACAATGTTCACTGACACTGACCGCGACAACTGACTCGAAGAACACTTAGTGCGATGAGCGTAAAGTTATACTCTGATATATGTCGATCCATTGCGACTTTAGTTCGAGCTCAACAGCCTAATCAGTCCGGATACTCGATGCGGTAGAGGAGATGCGGCAGAAGAGCATTGCTCGCCACTTAGTACCAAGCCCCAGCTTCCGCCAAGTGACCTGGACTCGCGAGTTGTATTCCATGTCAAGTATTAAAACGACCAGAACGACTTTCCATTGGCTACAAAGCTACGAGGATTCCTAGACAAAAGGTACCTGAGAGCCGCTTGAGTCCTTGGGAGCCAGCATGTCGGTACTCTTACCTACGGGGGGCGTGTCCGAAGACAACAAACATCCTGTCTTCAACCTGATTCGTTGGGCAAACTGCTCAGAAAGGACCCCTGAACTGACATTGTAGTTCAAGCTGCTTTGCCGTTGACGGTGTGAACCCTTGGCGAGGATCCTGCCTCGGCGTCTGGATCTTATCGTCCATGGTTCTTGGAGCAAGGACGGCGGCCGTCACGGTCATTGTCACGCAGCCATTATCATCAGATTGTATGAGAAGATGAGCTTCCCGGATTACTCCAGCTAACAGATCAATCAGTTACACTGTCTTCAGTTCATATGGCGGGCTCCGGGCGAGCGGTTCTGTGGAAGGGTCCCCCGCAGATGCCCGCAGATGGGGCCGGCCGGCTGCATAACTGACTTACACCACGAGCGCAGGGCTTGGTACGCCAACAGATGTCACAGTTCATTCAGCAAAACTGACGAGCATCACGCTGCTCTGGATCAATAGCGTTCAATGGCATCAAACCAGCATATCGTCAAACCCAACAACAGCTGACACAATAAGCTCACGTCCGCCCCGTACGGACAGAGGGAACAGACGGCGGTCACGGGGGTAATCTACGTATCCTAAAGGAGCCGCAAAAGTGCGGGGATCCGGGGATCAAGCAGATGGCCAAAACACCGCCCGGCGGGCTTGTGGAGGGCGGCTTAGCTTAGGACCATCCAAGTTAATCCCAAAAAACGCCAACGAGGGAAACAGTGAACCAGATCGCACCGCGTCTATTGGACCAAGAAATGAGAATAAAGTGAGTGGCGCCTAGCAACTTTGGACCATTGACAATTTGAGCAAGGGTGTAATTGGGAGCGGCAGCCCCAGAAAATAGAACTCGATGAGAAATCGCGGCCGACGCTTGTGGGAAATGCAAGTGCGGATCCGCACAGGTGAAGCAAGGCGGCGGCGGAGGCGGCGGGCGAGTTCGCAGCCTCACGGGACTTGGGATGGGGCCCATGGAAGATGGGGATGGAAAGGGGGGGGGGGGGTTCGAATGTCTCGGCTCTTGGCGTTGGCAAGTTGGGGAACGAGTTTCTCTTCCGGACACCAGGGCCCGGTTCGGGTTCCGCGCGAAGGAATTCCTTTTGGGTGCATACAGAAATGGCAACTGCTCTTCGGAACGAATTTGGGAGTTTTTGATGTTTGTCGGAACCGAGGGTGGAAAGAGTGATTCCGACCAGTTTGGGGGCGAGTGGTTACATAAGAGACTGGGGACTGTAGTTTATGCAGTGTAGGACGAATACAGTTACGTGCAGGGCTGAAGACATATTTTGGGACCTATTTCGTCTCAAGGGTCAGAAGGCTGACTTTGCGTGAGTATCTTGATTCATAGCTATTGACACGATACATGCGATTCAAGAAACTTTGATAGATGGGTTGTTACCTGATCTATTTGCGGTCCCGCGTTCAGCTGGAGTAAACGCTATAGAGATATGCCAGGGTACGATTACAGACAAAAGGCAATGAATAAGCTCCGTGTAGCCGCTGTGAAACTGCCATCAGACCGAAGAGACGGACAAAAGCTCACCCCACAAAATCCCCAACAGCAAAGCACTCAAGCAAGCGCTTCGGCCAAGAGGGTTCGTCGCTGTCGAATGATGTCGGGGACAAGGAAGGCAGCAAAGGAAGTGCGACAGGGGGATTCGGGTCGGGGGCGCGGCAGGAATTCGATGGAGGGGCAACGAAGGGAAAAGGGGGCGTGCATTCAATATCGGGGGATGTCGATATATCACTCTGCAAACGCCGCAAAATTCCCATCCCACTGTCCTGAGACCCTTTTGCGGGCTTAGCTAATAAATCTATATCCACCTTTTGGGTTTCTTCGGTGCGGGGGATCTCTGAGCAGAAGGGCTCGCTTGCATTTGCACCGAGCAGAGAGGCCCGGGGAATGGGCAGTAAAGACACCCCGAGAGAAGAGGAGTTTCAGTCTTTCAGACCTCAAAAGCTCGTGGTAATTAAGTACCGTAGTCTTCTCCCGAGTAAATGTTTAGTATTTCGAGCCCCGTTATCTTTACACCTAATGTCATTGCTTAACGCCGCACGACGGAGCTACCCTGCCCCCCTTTGGAGGTGTAGGAGTTAAGATGCCGCGGATGATCGAGCCAAGACACCGTGAAGAAAAAACTTGGAGATGTATGTACATGAGTGTGGGTCGGGGGGGGGGGGGGGTTAGGTATCCTGTGTCCGCGCCCCGGTATCCAGACTCCAGAGTGTGCAGAGCCCGGTATGGAGAAGTCCAAAGAAAAAGGTAATCTCAATCTTACCGGCAACCTTCAAGGTGGCAGGTCGGGGACCCGGGGCCCCAACATTTCACGGCCAGCCACCGAGTCGACGTAAGGTACGGCGGTACGTCTGTAGAGAACGCGTGCGTGTGTCGTCAAGGTGGGAATGAAAAGGTGGGGTGGAGGGGAAAGGTGCCAGTTATGCCAGGCGGAAGTTCTGGGGCACCCAACGACCAAGTCAAAGTGTGAGGAATTGTGTTTCGTCCCATACTGCTTATCCCATAATGCATATGCCGGGCTGGAACGGGACCGTCATTCTGACTCGATTGTCACGGAATGGTTTGGGTATCACAGTACGTTGGGGGTGTAGTTCAACTTGCTGACTGCAGGCAATCCGGTCGGAAAGCATCTGAAAACACGCGCCGGCGAACTTCCGCCCATCCATCCAGAGCTTACATACTATGTACGGAGTACAACTGGCAGCAAACAATGGAACGGGCATCCAATGGTTCATCGTCTGATCATCTCTTGGAGGATGGCTTAATGCCGAAAGAATCCGGGGTTATAGTAGTTAGACTTCTTTTGATTCGGCATTTCTAAGCGTGCTATGGCTACGACACATTGGTCCCGAGCTCGAATTCCGATGTGTTTGATAGCTGCTCAGCTACAGTAGCATAGTTGCACTGTAGCACGGTAGTTGGCAGGGATCGGCGAGGAGTAGCTGCAGCGCAGAGCCCGTCTGTTCCCTAGGTGATGCCATTTGTCATAGTATCCTAAGCAGGACCCTCGGGCAGATTCAATAGCTGTGGGATAATCATAGTAGAGAGACAAAAAAGAAGATGTTTGGTGTGTGTGATGAAGCGCTTTGAAGCGGGTGTGGCTGCTGCATCAAGACAAGACCAGCAATTTGGAATGTGCTGATTGGTTGGGTGCCCAATGGAAGACGCAACTTGTGATGGAGAAAATGCGGGGTCGACAAACTGCAAGAGAGGGGAAGCGGAGAGAGAGGGGTTTGTAGCTCTGGGGCGTGGCAACCTCTCATATTTATCTCAAGAACAAAAGCAAACAAAGCATGGTAGATATTCAAAGTATAGAGGCAAGAAGAGAGAAATCAAAAGATGGCAACAGACATATGGTCGAGCACAACTTACCTCAGAGCCATCTAGTCCAATATCATCACGACAGTTTCGCGATTCTTCTTCCTAACCTGGGGCCCCGGGGAATGGGAACGCGGAACTCAATTCCCACCGAACGGAACCCACAGTGACACACACACCCCTGGGTGGCATTCTGGTAAATTTGGGCCGAGTCGAACAGGCATCACCTAGTGGCAGTCTTGATCTACCTTACTGGTAGTCTCTGAGTCCCAGTGAAGACCTGCTGTCAGCCAGCACAGCACAGCAACGCACCGGTGGATAGCGTATTGCTCGTCCGGCGTAAAGGGAACGAGGGAAAGCAAAGGATAGGAAAGGAAAGGAAAGCCAGGCGTTGGCCCGAAGCGGCGCCCACCTTTCCCCGTTTACCTTAGCTCGAGGTCCCATCTTGCATCCATCCCTTGCAAGTTGCTGCCCCTCCATTTCTCCCCTTCTCCTTCTCCCCTCCAACACTAACAAATCGATTACTGTATGGGAGTCCACCCTAGCTTGTCAATATCTGGTGTAAGTACGAAGTACCCCCCCCCCCCCCCAACCCTGTTCATTGACAGCATGCAGATGCGTGTCTGGCCCCCCAGTGTGGAGATCTCAAGTCCAGTCCAGTCCACCGAATGACCGTGTTTGACGTTGCTCCGGCCCATGGGGGGGATTCTCTCACGTTCCCTTTCATCCCATGCCCATCCAATCTGCGGTTCCGATACCAAGTACGGATAGACCAGGCCTCGGTTTTAGTGTTAGGTTACTGTCTTGCAGACACTCCAGTCTCCCCTTCCCCTCATCCTTACGCAGTACCTACCCTACTCTGGGTCTGGAGTCTTCCCCTCCATCCGTACACCCTCCTGCCCCCCGGGCCCCACCGTCGTCGAGCAAGGTATCGCCTTCGCCTCCTTGACCCTTCACACTCCAGTCTCTAGGTCTCTGACATTTCGTCCCCTCCACTGCCTTTGCGCCGCGCGGTATACCGTATCACTTTCGGACTTCTCTCCCCCAGCTCTGCTCTGCTCTGGCTGCTCTGTGTGCTCTGTGCCCCCCCGGACCCCGCTTTATATACAGTCTGTGATCCCCAGCTTCGTCTTTCCAGTTTCTCTCCCTCCCTCTCTCACTTCTCACTACTCTCAACTCACAATCCCATCCCAATCCAAACTTTTTCTTCTTTCTTCCGTGATACCAAATACCCTTCCACGTTTCGTACTTGTTTTCCACAAAAATCACACACAATGGGTTTGTCCGTTGAGCTCAAGACCCCGGTGACGGGCGCCTACAACCAACCTACTGGACTGTGCGTATTTTCCACCCCTCAATCCTTATCCCGCCGCCGCTTACCCCGCGAGCAATGACGACCTCGAAATCACCAAGTCTAACATATCGTGATTCTCTAGCTTCATCAACAACGAATGGGTTGAGGGTGTTGACAAGCAGACTTTCGAGGTCATCAACCCCTCCACCGAGGAGGTCATCACCTCCGTCCACGAGGCCACCGAGAAGGATGTCGACATCGCCGTCGCCGCCGCCCGCAAGGCCTTTGAGGGCGAGTGGAGAAAGGTTCCCCCCAGCCAGCGTGGTTACCTCCTGAACAAGCTCGCCGATATTGCCGAGAAGAACACCGACCTCCTGGCCGCTGTCGAGTCTCTCGACAACGGAAAGTCCATCTCCATGGCCAAGGGCGATGTTGGTGCCGTTGTCGGCTGCTTGAGATACTACGGAGGCTGGGCCGACAAGATCGAGGGCAAGACCATTGACGTTGCCCACGACATGTTCCACTACACCCGCTCCGAGCCTGTAAGTCGCTGTCATTCTTGGTACAATCCAGAACCGCCAGCTAACAAACCCTCTCCAGATCGGTGTCTGCGCCCAGGTCATCCCCTGGAACTTCCCCCTCCTCATGCTCTCCTGGAAGATCGCCCCCGCTCTGGCGACGGGTAACACCATCGTCATGAAGACCGCCGAGCAGACTCCCCTGTCCGCCCTCGTTTTCGCCCAGTTCATCAAGGAGGCCGGCTTCCCCCCCGGTGTTTTCAACCTCATCAACGGTTTCGGCAAGATCGCCGGCGCCGCCCTCTCCGCCCACATGGACGTCGACAAGATCGCCTTCACCGGCTCCACCCTCGTCGGTCGCCAGATCATGAAGGCCGCCGCCAGCTCCAACCTCAAGAAGGTCACCCTCGAGCTCGGCGGAAAGTCCCCCAACATCGTCTTCAACGACGCCGACATTGAGCAGGCCATCTCCTGGGTCAACTTTGGCATCTACTACAACCACGGCCAGTGCTGCTGCGCCGGCACCCGCATCTTCGTCCAGGAGGGCATCTACGACAAGTTCCTCGCCGCCTTCAAGGCCCGCGCCGAGCAGAACAAGGTTGGCGACCCCTTCCACCCGGAGACCTTCCAGGGCCCCCAGGTCTCCCAGCTGCAGTTCGACCGCATCATGGGCTACATCAAGGCCGGCAAGGACGAGGGCGCCACCGTCGAGACCGGCGGCGGGCGCCACGGCGACAAGGGCTACTTCATCCAGCCCACCATCTTCAGCAACGTCCGCCCGGACATGAAGATCATGCAGGAGGAGATCTTCGGCCCCGTCTGCGCCATCGCCAAGTTCAAGGACGAGGAGGAGGTCATCAAGCTCGGAAACGACACCACCTACGGCCTCGCCGCCGCCGTCCACACCACCGACCTCAACACCGCCATCCGCGTCAGCAACGCCATCAAGGCCGGCACCGTCTGGGTCAACTGCTACAACATGCTCTCCTACCAGGTGCCCTTCGGCGGCTTCAAGGAGTCCGGTATTGGCAGAGAGCTCGGCGAGGCTGCTCTGGCAAACTACACCCAGAACAAGTCCGTCGCGATCCGTCTGGGCGGAGCGTTGTTCTAAGCCGTGGAAAGGCTTGGTTGGAAAGGTAATGAAAACTGGGGCTTATTCCGGCGCAAATGTGTACATGACCTTGATGTAACTTTTTTCTTCTCGTTTCAAACATCACGTTGAATGATACCAATAACACAAAAACAATCAAAATTCTCCTGTCCTATATGAATGCTGTGAATGTGATGAATGATCCGACCAAGTCCAAAGCCGACGGCCGGAACGGAACGGCTTGCTCACGACGCCTTGATCCACTTCCCCGATATACCGCCGGCCGGCATCCTAGGCGTATCATGCGCCCTACGGTATCCAAACGGCCCGCGAGCAATCACGTTCCATCAAGCCCTGGTTTCTGGGGCCCAAAATGCAAGTTCTTGTAAGTGTATACGCTGTTGTTCATATTTCCCAAGTATTACATTGCTCGGACAACAGTACTTGTTCCAATCGCGCGTCTAGTGGAACCAGCGAATGGCGTCGCTATATTCTCACTCGAACTCATAACCATCGGTAATCGATCTGGGTCTTCAGCACGACATGTTTACAAGACCTACGCAACCCACAACCGACACAACACCGCCTCATTCCGATCAACCGGGCTCCCAGGCCCACAAACCACCGTAAAATTATGCCAATCTCTAGTGGCATCAACATCCAACCCCTCCACAGCCTCATACCTCTGCACCATCCTCGCAATCACGTAACCCGCCTCCGTCAGCGCGAGCTGCTGCCCGATACAAATCCTCGGCCCGCCGTTGAAAGGCACGAAATGCCACGCCGCGCTCGCGGACCCTCTCTTCGCCTCCCATCTCTCCGGCACGAACTCATCCGCGTCCTCGCCCCAGAGGTCCTTGCGCCGGTGGAGCACGTGCGTGCTGAAATTGACTTCCGTCCCCGCGGGCACGAAGATCGGGTCGGTGCCGTGGGGGCCGCCGCCGGCGGGGAGGGTTGTGTCGATGAGGGCGCGGCGGGAGTTGAAGGGGACTACTGAGTGGAGGCGGAGGGTTTCGGAGAGGATTGCTTGGAGGTAGATGCACTGCTTTAGTGACGCGAACGTCATTGATGTTTCTGAAGGATCCATGGAAGAAGAGTAAGGTCCAAAGGTTGATGTTATCTCCGCGCGGAGCTTGGCGAACACGCGCGGGTTGCGAACGAGGCAGTACCAGACCCAACTCATCAGCGAGGCGGTGGTATCCCGCCCCGCGGCGAGCAACCCCAACACCTGCTCGCGAACTTCTTCGTCCCCTCCCCCGCCGGCGCATCGTTCTCGAAGAACATCTAGGAAATCGTACCGCGCGAGGGAGGAACCCTGTGCTTTCGCCGCATCTGAGGCGGCGACGGCGGCGTCGACGAAGGCGTGGAGCGTCGCTACGCAGGAGCGCAGGTCTTCGTTCCCGTAGAGCCAGTAGAAGCTCCGGAGACGCATGCGCGTGCCGAGCACGGCGAGGAGTTTTTCAAAGGCGTGGTTGAAGGCCGTTCCCGGGTGGGAGTTGTCGTTGTGAAGGCGGGCGGAGAGGGTGCGTGTGCTCTGGCCCAGGAAGAGTTCTGTTGCGGAGTCGAGGGTGAGGCAGGGGAACAGGGAGGCGAGGCTCACGGGGGCGGACCACGTTCCGTCTGCGGCGTTCGTGTTGGCGATGGTTGTCGTGGTGGTCCCCTTTTCGATGCAGAGGAACAGCGTCTGGACGTGCGCCTCGAGCAGATCCAGCCTGGAGACGTTATCGCGGCTGAAGAGAGGCCTCATCACCTCCCTGGCAGAGCGCCACGCCGGCCCGTCGGCCGCGAAGATGCTTCGGCCCAGGACGGTCTTGAGGTTCGTGCTGCGGGCGAGGCCCATTCCAAAGTCGCGGAATTGCGTGGCGAGGAGGGCTTGGATGTTGCGCGGGTCGGCGGTGACGACGTTTGTTGTGCCGAGCAGGGACATGCGGAAGGTGTAGACGCCGCCGTTGGCGTTGGTGTTGGGTTTTATGTTGCTGTTGTTGCTCTCACCGTTGCGACGGAGGGCCGCGAAGCGCGCGGCGACGTGGTCTGGCGTGCGCTGCTCGCGGTCGGCGCGGAGGGAGGCGAGGACGACGTCGAGGCCGAGGGGCCATTTTGAGGGCTCGAGGGGTGCTGGGTGACAAGAGAGGGTGCGGGCGCGTCTGGCGTGGGAGATATTGTGGTGGAGGATGAGGAGGAGGTGGATGATGAGCAGGAGGAGGGGGATGAGGGTATAGAGCGGGATGTTGTGAAGATGATGATGGAGTTTGAGACTTGGGAATTGGGCCATTGCGGTGATGGAGAATGTTCGAGATGCCATGTTACGTTGAGTTTCTATCTGGGGTCTGCGGGATGCTTCAGCTGAGAGACGTACAATTGGTCTCTTACAGGCACGATGACTTAGGATGATACCATCATCATCACCATCACAAAATTTCAGCTTCACGATGATTGCTGGCCATCTTGATGGGAAGCGTGTAATAAGACCCCTCCAGCGTCTGCGCAGTTTATTGGTCAAACGGTCAATATCTCTCAACGTCTCTGACTCCGATCGACCCTCGGCCAACGTGCTCTAGAGGATGCTTGGCATTGGTCCGACAGCTTGAGCTGGTGGAAACGACATGGGAATCTAAGCAAAGGCTCCATCGCGCAGTGGAAGACGTCCCTGATCCGAGGACAGGGGATTTTTCAGACGAGAATGAACGGGGGAATGACACATGGGTACACCCTGGATGCGGCCCGCTGACTCGGACGTCAACCATTCTGCTGGTAAGTGACAGCTCGGGGGGTCGACACTACGAGGCGATTGACTCGCTTTCATGAAGATGAACTCGTCCAATCATTTATGATGTGTTTGAAAGAGCATTTTGTCGTTGTGGTTACTCGATGGGTGCGGGTTCTGGTCAACGTAAAAGTGAAGATTGTTGCAGTAGGCTCCGAACGAACTGCATTGAGATGATTGCTGACAGAGTCATATCAATGATTGTTTGATGATGGAAAAGTGATCACCCTTGAGTAAAATGTCTGTATAATCAGACTCTACAATCTACAACAGCCTTCTCAGAATTCTATAAGTCTAGGCGACTTATCTCGAGCAGCTTTGTATATGCTCAAAACGATCAAGCAACTATTCTAGGGCGTAACTTAATCATCAAAGGAGTCTTCTCCCACATGATATACGTTCCTTGCTTACTCCACCAATCTTCAGCAGGATTCTCGAGTTCAAAGTCGAAGTTCCAAATCATCTTTGCCATAGTCAGGCTCATCTCGGCGTAAGCCATCCTGAGAGATTGTCAGCATTCACCCCGGTCTAATATCTCTTGGCATCTAATTTTGGGAGGACTCACGCTCTTCCAATACAAATGTGTTGTCCATAGGAGAACGGCTGGACTGCCGCCCGGTCATCGTTTGCGAACTCGGACCCAGGGCCCAGCTCAAGCCATCTCTCAGGAATGAACTCTTTAGCCCGGCGGAAGTTATGCTCAGAGTGTCCCGCCGCAAACTGGTTCACCGCAACAGCATAGCCGCCAGGAACCCATCCGCCATCAATCACCTCGCCCTCCCCCGGAACCCATCGAGGCAGGGAGCCGGGCGTGGGAGGGTACAACCGCATGCCCTCGTCGATACACGCGCGAAGGTACCTACAATTCTGCGCAGCAACCATCGTGATCTCCTCGTGCGTGCTAAACTTGCCGCGAATCTCCGCCTTTACCTTTTCGAGCTTCTCCGGGTTGTGAAGCAGCAGGTACGTGAGGCCAGACATACCGCCGGCGGTGGTACCGCTACCGGCGACAATGAAGGTGCCCGCCAGCATCGTCAGTTCGATGTTGGTGAGCTTCTCCTCCGTGTTTTCGAGGATGTAAGACATGAAGTCCTTGCCCGGGTTCTTGGCCTCGATCCGCTGTCGGACCTTGGCCGCCGTCATGGCGATGTGCTTGCGGCGGGACTCGGTCACGCGGCGCGGCGCGATCCAGGTCAGGAGGTCGAAGACGCCGTATTGGACTGTCAGTTGGATCCAGACGTAGGCTTTTGCGCGCGTGTTGATGAGGCGGAGCCAGGGCTGGTCGGCGTTGTTGAGGCAATTTTCAGAAGTGCCGAAGGCGAGATCTGCTTGGACAGCTTGTTAAATAGGAAACAGGGCTGATGGATCTTCACGAGGGTTCGAATGTGCTGTGAAGGCAACAGTAACGTACCATTGAGAATGTCGAAAGCGAGAAGATTAAACCAGGTAGAGATGTCCACGGCACCCTCTTTGCAAACCTTCTTGAGTTGGCTTACGAGAGTATCCGTATAATTCTGAAAGTAGTACTCCTGTTCACGCAACGCGCGCTCAGAAAACGCCGGGTTGATAGCGCGCCTGAGCTTCGCGTGTCCCGCCTGATCCTCCGTCATCAGCGTCTTGCGACCTCCCATGGTCGGCGGCGCGATACCGCGGCCGTCAAGGGCCTTTGGGAACTCGCTGGGCGCGCGCTGTCCGTAAATCTTCTTCCAAGCCGTGGAGCTCGTGTAGGAGAGCTCGTCGGGCGCGATGCGGACGACCGGGCCGTATTGTTCGTGGAGCTCGTGGATACGCCAGGAGATGCGGCCTTTCATGTTAACGTAATTCCATGGCAAGCGAGAGATGGCCCAGAGCTTGGGGCCTGGATAGTGGCGTAGGGGGCTGAGGTAGAGGTAGTAGAAGCTTCTGCAGAAGATGTATATCACGATCTGGAGGATTGGTGAGTTTTCATTCTGAGAGGATTGTTGGGTACTGAACTTACTAGGCAGAGAGAGGTGATAGCAATGTTGAAAGGCGAGAAACTTGGGAACTTGCTCAGGTGGGCTTGAACCTGCTCAGGTAAGTTGACCGTAACCATCGTGATGATTGAAGATCCCTCAGCTCGACCACGGTGTCAGCACTTGTTTGAGCCAGATTGTCTGCATCGCGCTTCAACATCAAGAAAGTATCTCGAGTCTTGACCACCGAGCTTGGCTCCTTTACTCATAGCTATGGTGGAGAGCTGGTCGGAGCGCGTTCCGCGGCAACACGAACACGACGAGGCTCTCCGCGTGTGACGGGACCAGGGGACTCATGAGATGAAGTGAGTAGTCAAAGCAAGCCTGCCAATAGGAAAACAACGTTGTTGCACGTTCTCAAGGACCCGCATCGAGTCATCGTGGGATCCATCGTAGAGGAACGCGATAAGAAGGTCGCTGCGGTTTCCGAGGGCTCGATTCATGCTGAGCGGGCCGCGATGCTAGGGACTCCCTGACTGCCACCTCTAACCCCCTGTAGGTCGGGCCGGGCTGCTCAATGAATGCCGAATCTGTCGTCCAGGAACGGAAGTCTTGTATTGGACTAGCTGCAGGAGAGAACCTTATATCCCGAGACATCCTGGAGCCGGCCCCACGAAAGAGCACGAGTCAATGCTTGTTTAGAAAACAAGCTCATTACCCCGGTCTTGGCCGTTGAGTCTAGGACCTCGAAGTTCGAGGGGTTGGGTTCACGTAGACCTGAGAACCCCAATTGGTTTCATCCACAGCACGTGGGAACGGTCTGCCAATGAGGAATCTTGCATCCTGAATCTCCTGCTCTGCGATAGTAGGAAAATTGCACTCTCATTGCGCCCGTAGGTGTTTCTATAGACCCTTGAGTTGGCGAGGGAGATGTTGGGAACTTGGCGGAATTAAGCCGACGGTTCCCTTAGAGAAAGGACCATGATTTACTCGAATTATGATGCGTCCGAAACCGGCTTCCAAGCCATGTTCAAGCAACCTGACGGACAATTGCCATCAAATTTGACAAAAGTTCTGGTCGCCAGCCTGGAGACGACTTCACGTCAGATTTCAAAACATTAGCACCATGATGAGAAGAACGAGCCCTGAGACCATCCGGGAAGAACTGAGGCCTAGACTCTCAGCCGGAGCCTGTATCCACCTTGCCGAATCCGAAGAGTTCGCGAAATCAAACCTGCGATTCACAGACTATGAGCGTCCGGTAAGGCCGGAGCAAGCATCGTCCAAAAGACTCACGCTGACTGCTGGTTTCTATAGACGTATCTTGCGGCTGTTGAGCCGGCTTGCGAAGAGGATGTGATCCAAGTCATGAAATATGCCCGAGAAAAAGGCATTCCGTTTGCGCCTCGGTCGGGACACCATGCTGTCACTACGTCGATGCGGCACCTGAAAGACGGGGTCCTCATCGACATGCGTCCGCTGAACAAGTTAGAATTTGACGCCGAAAAGCAGCAAGTCACCGTCGGTGGAGGCATCATAACGGACAACTTTGTCAAGTATCTTGAGTCGGTTGGGATGGAAGTTAGTAAGTAATTAGTCGTTGCTGAGTGTCACATCTTCAAGAGGCATGCTGATATCGTGGCAGACGTTGGGTCCTGCCCGACTACCGGTGTCATAGGAGTCGCGTTCGGAGCTGGCCTCGGCCGTCTTCAAGGAAAATACGGCTTCTTACACGACAACATGGTGTCTTGTAAAATGGTGCTCGCCGACGGTAGTGTCGTTCTGGTTTCCGAAGACTCGAACTCCGAGTTATTCTGGGCCATCCGTGGAGCTGGTCACAACTTTGGCGTCGCGCTAGAGGCTACGTTCCGCGTATATCCACAAGCAAACAAGGGCATCCACTATACTTGGGACCTGGAGTATACTGTTGAGCAGTGTGATTCTGTCTTTGAGACTCTCAACAGCGTTCATGAAGTCATGCCCGCCGATTTGGCCATCTTCGTGCTGTGGGTTCGCCAGAGTGAGGGTGGAAGAAAGGTCAAGAGTCTTCATCCTACCGCGGAAAATCAAGACTAACATGTCTGCGCAGCATCACATACTCGTCAATCTTGTTTGGTCTGGTCTCGAAACCGAGGCAGATCCATGGATTCAACGATTCAAAGGCCTAAACCCGGTTATCAACAGCGAGAAAGTAACGACAACCTGGGCTGACCTCCCGTGGAAAACATACAAAGGCATGAATAACGTTCTCAGTAAGCCAGAGGTCTGGTCTAAAGCGCCTTATAAGATGATGGGGGCTGCCTGCGTCGAGAAGTTCGACCTCAAAACCACTCGGTCATTCTTTGAGAGTGTGAGATCCATGAACGAAGAATGGGCGGGCAAAGGCTTCTTCGGGGCCATGTTCGAATGCTTGCCCCACCGAAAAGTACGAGAGTTACCCAGCGAAGCGACGGCGTTCCCCTGGCGCTGGGGATCGAATCATTTCCTGTGAGTTGATGCTACAATGATGTTGTTGCTTTGCCTCGTGACGAGAAGCGCTGACTTGCATCAATAGAATGCTCATGGCGACACCGTTGAAGCTTGAGTCTAAAGAAAAGTTCGAGGAGCACCTTGACCGGTGGAAGAAGGAGTTCATCGCAACATCGGGTTATGGTCGACTGCAGCAGTATGTGAACTATGGCAACACGACATCTACAATGAAGGATCCTCCAGAAGCGTTGTATGGTTATGAGCCTTGGAGGCTGGAGAAGTTGCGCGCCTTGAAGCAGCGTTACGACCCCGACAACGTGTTTTGCTGGTACCAGCCTTTGGTGGAGCCCGAGGCTTCAGATGTAGTAAATGTCGCTTGACATATCTTTATTTTCTTCCGAAGTCCTATGGAGATTAATCGGAAGGGTCTCCAAATTGATTGATGTGTGATACCCATATTTAGATGTGCAAAAACCAAGAAAACAGATAGCTGTCTGGCAACGAAGAGTAAGTAGGTGTCCGTAGTTCGAAGGTCAGCTACACGCTCTGCCATCGGACCCAAGGGTACGTGCGCAATCGGCCGAGATGATTCGCATTCTCTGAACGCTTCGGGGACGGGCCTGGGTTACTCCCCGCGTTCATTCATACCAAATTCGGCCGGCAGTACGCGTAATGAATACATTATAGCGATACCGGCGGCAACTCGTCCCGGAAAAGTCTCTTCACATGGACAAACAAAAGAGCCCACGTGCTGTGAGATTTGTTGTAAAGACTCAATTGTATCAGCATGGGTATATTTGTTTGCCAATCGCTCCAGGGTACAGCTCAGCTAGGATAACCTAAGACCCGAGTCAGCGGCACCGCAAGTGCTCCGCAATACAATATCAGATGTGAGACCCATCTATTAGGGATCCATTACAGCAACCCCTTGATGACTGGGGCCGGTTGCTGTTGAACCCATAAGTCCCCCGGATTCTTCCCGTACTTGGCAGGACCCTTGGCGATCAGGATGTGGAAACGCTCCGGCCAGAACATACACAAGTGTCTCTTCTATCCTGTCGGGCCATCACCGCTTTTGCGTAGTCCCGCTGCGCCCAATATCGGAGGACGGGAGGCCACTGACAACGTGTCTGTAGGATATGATGGTATTGGATGACTTGTATTATCTAGATGGAGCCCTTCGGACTCTGTTCGAGGCAAGCATCTTCGCTCTTATCTGATGGCATGGATGGACCTCACCATGAGATATTGCTATTGTGGAAGGAAATGCGGAATACTCCGATCAAGATCGTTGGAGGCAGACATATGACACCTTGACCTCTTGCTGTTTTTCTTCGTTTGCTCTTTGATTCTCCCTGACACTCTCGTTCTAGCCAAATACTTCCACAATTCTACCAAGATACCCAAGCGCTATACTCATTAGTAATTCTCCTTCTATTGTCCCCTATTACACGAAATGCCGTTCATCGACGAGCCCACCCGTGCTGAAAGCACATGTCAGCCCATTGCCATTATCGGTATTGGCTTGAGAGCCCCCGGCGATGCATCTGATCCGGAGAAGTTCTGGCAGATGCTCTTGGACGCTCGGTCTGCGCGATCCGAGATTCCCAAGGATCGCTACAACATTGATGGCTTTTACCATCCCGACCCTGAAAGGCTGGGCAGCATCCAGCCCAGGTAAGCCAGATCTCCTGAGAATCCCTTGAAACTCACCGTCTCATCGTTCTTTTAAGGCATGCGCACTTCTTAAAACAGGACTTCAAGGTGTTTGACGCACCATTCTTCTCTGTCACTCCTAAGGAAGCCAAGGCCATGGATCCGACGCACCGGATGCTCCTTGAAGCAACTTACGAGGGATTTGAGAATGGTAAGTCTACGGCAGTCTAGAAAACCTGAACGAACACCTCGCTTACTAATTTTGCGTTAGCTGGTCTGAGACTGGAAGACGTCTCCGGAACTCAAACATCATGCTACATTGGTACCTTCACCGGAGACTTCCCCAACCTGCAAGCTCGTGACAATGAAGGGCCCTCTATCTATCGTGAGTATCCGTTTCTGTCACGTCATGTTCTATTATTGCCGTTCTGATGCCTCATCAAAGATGCCACCGGTCTCTCCTCATCCCTTGCCTCAAATCGGCTTTCGTGGTTCTACAACCTGAGGGGCCCCTCAATGACCATCGACACTGCATGCTCGTCTAGTCTGACGGCCTTCCATCTGGCTTGCCAGAGCATACGTACAGGAGAGGCAGAGATGGTAAGTGAAAATTGAGCCCATGGAAGAATTCTCGCTCCAGAGCAAAGTAACTGCTGACACAAAACTTTCACGACAGAGCGTTGTCGCCGGTGCCAATCGCATGTTCGGACCAGACATGTCTATCCTGCTCGGTGCCGCCAAAATCCTCTCTCCCGAGGGAAAGTCCAAGATGTGGGATGCGAACGCCAACGGATTCGCTCGCGGAGAAGGGTTTGGTGTCACAATTCTCAAGCCCTTGGATGCCGCGCTTCGTGACGGCGACACCGTCCGCGCTGTTGTGCTGGCCTCAGCAGCAAATGAGGATGGAAGGACCCCTGGTATCTCGCTGCCAAACAGCGAAGCTCAGCAGGAACTCATCCGCACTGCGTACCACAAAGCTGGAGTTGATCCCGCGGAGACCGGCTACGTTGAGGCA